CTGACAAATTCAACATCCTTGGGTAGAAACATGATTGATTTGAGCTGGAGCTCGTTCCTTAATTTCTAAGGCTTCTAACCTCCGCAGAATTGTCGCCATCTTTGCTTCAGAAGAAATGTTTGACTCCAAGGAAGGACCACTAGACTTAAAATTGGGAACTGATGAAACTCTGTTATCACAGTGTTCCCATTGCATTAATTTCTCGGATAGACTCTTTAGAAATTCCCAAGCTTTGTCGGCATTTTTCCTCATGAAATCCCCGTGGCACATTGATTCTAAGGAAGTTTTTGCAGAGTAATCTAATCCCACATAAATTATTTGGCACAATCATAATTTTTCTAAAACGTGATGAGGACATTGGATGAGAAGATCTTTAAATCGGTCAAAATACTTTCAAAACGGTTCTCCCGGGATAATTTTAAAATTCATGATGTTGTTTCTTAGCTTCACCGTTTTATGGATAGGAAAAAATTTCTTAAGAAAAATAGTGATAAATTCCTCCCAAGTAGTGATGGAATTTACGGATAAGCTATACAGCCATTTTTTTGCTTTGTCTTTGAGAGCAAATGGAATAAATCTGAGTTTGATCGCATCTTCTGTTAATTCTCTCATTTTAATCATAATACATACTTTCTCAAATTTCGAGATAAAAATATATGCATCTTCTGTTTCATTTCCAAGGAATTTTTTTTAATTAGGTTAACAATCAAACAAATGAGAAGGGGGAAATTATTTGAATTTATTATCTTGTTAGTAAATGTCAAAGTGAAAGATGGATTTTATTATGGTTAACAAAAAAAAAATCTCTTTTTTTTTCTAGATCCTAATTGTCTCTAATTGTGAAGCTAACTAAAAAGGGTGGAATTGAAAACGCTAGAAAGAAGACTTACCCGAAAGCAAATCTTCAAATCCTAGTTCTCCAATCCGCGATCTTCAAGCTCTAAGTGTTTCCTTCACAATAAACACACAAGTTAAAGAACCAAAATAATTAAAACCTACTTAAGCACTTTCCCCGACAACGGCGCCAAAAACTTGATGCGGCATAAACATGTACCAAAAATATTGCAAGTGCACAACCGTGTCAAGTTATAGTATAAAGATATCGATCTCACGAGAAATGTGTTTTGTAGGAGAAAATATAAAATCGGTTCTTATGTTGTGTTCGTGACAAATAGGAGTGATGAGTGAAATGTAAGAAATTAAAGATGGTGGATTTAATTAAAGATACGAGTAATGTAAAATTGAACTCACTTCTTTGAAAAGGGTGATTCCCTAGAGGGTTCTAGCCTAAAGGCGAATCAAACAAAATAAAAATAAACAAAAAGAAAAACTAAACCCAAGAGGGTTCTAGCCTCAAGGTGAATAGTGCAAGAAATTAAAATCTAACTACAAAATAAATTGCAAAATCTGAACTACAAAATAAATTGCAAGAATTAAATATACGAAAATAAATCTAATCTATAAGCATGAAATAAATCTAAGGCAAGAGGGTTCTAGCCTCTTGGCTATTTAACAAGAAAATAAAATCTAACTACAAGCATAGAAATAAATCTAAACTAATAAGTAATAAAAAAGAAATAAAAGAGAAAAGAAAATGCAAACCTCCAAATAATTCTTCATCTCCATCTTCATCATCCAACAAAGAGAAGAAATATTTAAAGTGGTGAAAAAATTATTTTATTAATTGTAACAAAAGTTACAAATTTAGAAGGCCTTCTCAATTAAGAGTGGCCCTCCTCTCCAAATAGAGTTACAAAAAATTTCACACCTCTAACCCCTCACTCTCTACCCCTATTTATAGTAAACATCAGTGAATAAGAGCCCTTGGATCGAAATATTATCCAAAAACCATGAATTTCAGCCTTAGATTCGTAACAGAATGACGATGGCTTCGATACCCAGTGTGCTGCAATTGTATTCCGCAGCTTCTTCTTCTTTTATGCTTTGGGCTTGGGCTTCTTTGGCATTTCTTCTTTTTTTGGGCTTTCATGCTTGAGTTCTTCATTTAATTTGTGGGTTTTGTTGAGAGAAGAGATATTGGGCTTTTATTTTTGATTAACCTGTAATTAAAGATAAAAACAATTACTAGTGATAAATTTATTCATATAAACTAGATAATGATGGTATAAAATTGTAATAAAATGTGATTATCATTCATAGTCAAAGGTAAAGAAGGGATGCAATCTCACTGAACTATAACATTTATATTTTCTAACAATTTTACTACAAATTATTAATCTCGCATTGAAATAAGAATTAAAAGTATCACTCGGTAACTTGGAGAGAGAGACAATACTATAACCAGATTTAGAAATCATAGTTAGTCTTCCTTTTAGTTTTTAGACATATCACCTACATATTAAGTTTGCATCTTTTAACGCTTGCACACGGATGATTAAAGGAAATTTAAACAGAAACATAGAGTTGATTACCAAATTTTAAAAAGAAAGATTTACTTTGATTTCACTCTTACACTAACATTATAGCTTTATATATGTACACAGATTTTGTATAGGATTAAACAAACATAGGTTAATCTTGAAAAGAGTGAACTATTATAATTAAATAAAGTTGGAATCTACATACGCACAAATTTACAGGAACATTATGATAGCGTGTCTAAACTAAATCTTGAAAAGAGGGATCTCTTACAATTAAATAAAGTTGGAATCTACATACACACAACTTTATATGAATATTGTGATAGCGTGTCTAAACTCTACAAGAACTTCAAAACTAACACAAAAAAAGTACTGATATTTAGTTTGAACATTACGAAGGAATGGAATTTATACATTTGTAGTGATGTCCCAAATACCATAACCCTGTAGTTTTGTTAAATTACCATATTCATCAAGACTCCGAAGAACTAGATTTATTAGTTTGTATATAACAATTCCTTGATAAATCACCAAAATGCTAAAACTAACTCTACCATTGATACTGGGAATTAATCAATAGCTTACTGAATTCACTGCAATTACCCTAATGATCCCATAGAATTCTATGACTCACGAACAGTCGAGTACTATGTTTACAAACATTAAATATCAAAGAAATTACCTTTCAATAAAACAAATCAAAAGGAGTAAAAATAAGGGCTTTTTGTCTTTAGGTCCAATAGTTCCTCTCTCTGCCCCCCTCTTCTTCTCCCTTTCTCTCACTCCATTAATAGAACTCAACACTCTCTCCTATAACCCATCATTTAATCACTCTCTCTTACAACCCATCAATTAATTCTCACCAACTTTCTGGGCATTTGAAGGTAGAAATTTGCAATTTACTCAACTACCAAGTTGTTAGCATTAATTTCTCATTTTAACCATGACAATTATTTGATAAGTTAGTTAAATGAGTTCATAAAAAAATTTTAATTCGTTATTTTTAGTAAAATGTTAGATAACTGAGGTTTTGTAATTAACCACCCATTAATTTCACATTAGTTATTTCACATAATTATTTTGCACTTCTTATTTCACATTATTATTTCACATAATTAGTTATTTCACATAATGTTATTTCACATAATTATTTTTAGTAAAATGTTATTGTTATGAATTCATAACAATTAGTTAAATATTAGTTAAATTTGTTATAATTGATGAAATTTTTGTTAAATTTGATCTTAGTATAGAATGATAACATGTAAGTATAGCATGAATTACCAGACTTATAAGTATAGCATATTAATATAAGTAGAGCATGTTATACTGTAAGTATAGCACATTAATACTGTAAGTATAGCACATTATAATGTAAGTATAGCACATTAACCTGTAAGTATAACATGTTATATTGTAAGTATAGCACGTTATCATGTAAGTATAGCATGTTATATTGTAAGTATAACACGTTATCATGTAAGTATAACACATTATCATGTAAGTATAGCACATTAACCTGTAAGTATAGCACGTTATATTGTAAGTATGGCACATTAACCTGAAAGTATAGCATGTTATATTATAAGTATAACACGTTAACATGAAAGTATAACACGTTAACCTGAAAGTATAGCACGTTATATTGTAAGTATAACACGTTAACCTGAAAGTATAGCACGTTAACCTATATTTAAATGTTAGTTAAATTTGTATATAATTGATTGATGATATTTTAGTTAAATTTGATCTTAGTGTAGAATGATAACATGTAAGTATAGCATGAAATACAAGACTTGTAAGTATAGTATGTTAATCTGAAAGTATATCACGTTATACTGTTAGTATAGCATGTTATACTGTAAGTATAGCACATTATACTGTAAGTATAGCACGTTATACTGTAAGTATAGCACATTAACTTGTAAGTATAGCATGTTAACCTGTAAGTATAGCACGTTAACCTGAAAGTATAGCACGTTAATCTGTAAGTATAACACGTTATCATGTAAGTATAACACGTTAACATACAAGGATAGCACGTTATCATGTAGCGGTATTTTAGCTGTATTGATTTTATGTGTCTATCTTTGTGAAATTTTTCTCTAAATTTGTTTATTTTTTGGTAACAAATATAGATGGATGCAGAATTGTATTGTGCATTGACGGATTTTAGAGGAAACAATCACTTTTTAGAATTAAATGTCAACGGGAGTTACAAAGATTTGGCCGTTGCAGTGCAAAGCCTAATTGCTTGTAGTGCAAGCACGATACAGTTGACTTACAAAGTACCACACACGCAAGAAATATATGTTCATGTATGTGATGATGCTGATGTATCGATAATGGTCAATGTACATCGAAGTTGCAAGGAGAATGTTGTTGTCATGAACGCTGAGATGAATCGAGACATATTATTTGGCATACAAGCTAACGATGTCCATATAAGGTAATTTACACTTTTGATATAGTTTCGTACTTTTAACATTATCACTTTCTTAACTCTTGTACAATTTTCTATGCAGTAATCCGTATATCCCCTCTAGTGATGATCATGTTTCTCATTCACAAAATCCATCGTATTCACAAAATATGTCGCGGGAAGTTAAGAGCTCTAATATGATTCCTATTGCATGGCACAATGCTATTAGAAGTGTTGGTCAAGAATTTGATGATATTGAACATTGTCGGCGGAGTTTAAGTAATTACTCTATTGCACGAGGATTTAACTTTGAATTTGTAAAAAATGAACGCAAAAGGGTGACAGCAAAATGCAAGGCCGCAAACTGCGAATGGATGGTTCATTGCACCCGTCGTAGAGATAATGATCGATTCTATGTGAAAAAAATATATAGTTCTCATAGTTGCTTGGGAGGAGGCATAGGAAAGGAAGGATATCAACGGGCATCTCGTAAGTGGAATGCTAATCAGCTCAAGACCATATTGAAGGAACAATCCACTTATCGCCCAATTAATTTTCAAAAGAAGCTTAAAATGGAATTTGGTTTGGACATCCCTTATCATAGAATTTGGTGGGGAAAAAAGCTAGCTCAACGTGAGTTGTATGGTGATACTAAATTTTCATATGACCAACTCCGATGGTATAAGAATAAAGTTATAGAAACTAATCCAGGATCAATTGTTCACCTAGAGCATGAGGATGGAAGATTTACACGAGTATTTGTGTCTTATTATGCTTGTTGGAAAGGGTTTATGGAGGGATGTAGACCAATATTGTTCTTGGATGGTACACATCTTTTTGATAGGTATGGTAGAGTTCAATCTAATCAAAAGCTGTATTAATGTACTACTTCATATATTTTATACTTTGTTTCATAATTGTTCTTTTCTTTTATAGGTATAAAGGAACCTTACTTGCCGCAACTGCTCTAAATGGAGATGGTGGTATGTTTCCCGTAGCAATTTGCATATGCGGGACGGAAAATGAGAGTAATTGGGAATGGTTTTTGGAATGCATTCGGGACATCCTCTTCAATGATGAAGATCCATATACTCCAGATGATGAACTGGTGTTAATCTCTGATAGGGACAAAGGACTTCAGAATTCCGTGAAGAAATGCTTTCCATGGTCACATCACTCTTATTGTATTCGCTTATTGTATTCGTCATCTTTTGGCTAATTTTAAGAATAACTTATCGAAAAAAGGCATTACACCACCTTTACGAGATGAATGTGTGCAAATTATGAAGAGGGCCGCTTATGCATACACTTCTCGTTCCTATAACAATGAATGTAACGAGCTACGGCATAAATCAGAGATCGCCTATTGTGAAATGTTGAGGATGAGTCCAGAAAATTGGGCTAATTGTTATTTTCCTGGGAAGAGGTAAAATTTTATTTTTTTTTTTAAATTTTAAATGCAAACCTTCAAGATATATGTACCTGCTATACTTACTATTTATTGACATGCATGTAGATATGGATGGTTGACATCAAACGTAGCGGAGTCATTCAATGCTTGGATCAAAGAAGCTCGTTATTTGCCAATTACCCAAACAATTAATAACATTCGCAAGAAAATAATGAGGATGAGTTTTGAAAGGCGGGAGGCATCCCACAAGTGGACCACAACATTTGTTCCCACTGTGGAAGAGCACCTTATTCAGATTAATGAGCAATCACGTTGTCTTTCTGCAATTCCTTCTACTACCGGAAGGTACGAGGTGTATGATTTGCCCACCGTTGAAGTAGATTTGAATGAACGCACATGCACTTGTCATGAATGGCAAGTAGTCGGGCTACCTTGCAAACATGCGGCGACGGTTATTCGGCAGAATATGGACACCCTTTACTCCTATATTTCCCACTACTTTAGTGTGGAGACATACCGTAAATGCTACTCCTTTCCGATATACCCAATTCCTGATGATGACAAGCCATATATAGATGACGAAAATATGGTGATTCGGCCACCGAAAACTTCAATTCTTCGTGGAAGACCAAGGACGAAGCGCATTCCTTCGGGATTGAATCCGGGCAAAGAGTTAAGATGTAGTAGATGTCAACAATATGGGCACAACCGTAGAACATGTAGACAGCCTATTGCAGACTAGATATGGTCTACACAATACTTTTGGTTAGAAGATATGCTGTACTTTTGGATAGATATGCTATACTTTTGGATAGAAGATACGCTATACTTTTGGACAGAAAACATGCTATACTTTTGACGTGTAAGACAAGATATACTTTTGGATGTAAGACATGCTACACTTTTGGATGAATGAAAGACATGCTATACTTTTGTCATAATTTTGTATGTATCCTATGTGTTTGTAATCAATGGAAGACATGCTATACTTTTCCATATAACGTGCTATACTTACGATTAACATGTTGTACTCTCAGGTTAATGTGCTATACCTACAGGTTAACATGCTATACTTACAGGTTAACGAGCTATACTTACAGGTTAACGTGCTATACTTACTGGTTAACGTGCTATACTTACAGGTTAACGTGCTATACTTACGACATAACGTGCTATACTTACTAGTTAACGTGCTATACTTACAGGTTAATGTGCTATACTTACGATGTAACGTGCTATACTTACAGTTTAACGTGCTATACTTACGATGTAACGTGCTATACTTATAATGTAACGTGCTATACTTACAGGTTAACGTGCTATACTTACAGGTTAACGTGCTATACTTACAGGTTAACATGCTATACTTACAATGTATCCTATGTGTTTGTTATCAATGAAAACATGCTATACTTTTGTCATGATTTTGTATGTATCCTATGTGTTTGTTATCAATGAAAGACATGCTATACTTTTGGTCTTTTTACTTTTTGTCATAATTTTGTATGTATCCTATGTCAATGAAAGACATGCGATACTTACTCCTTAACATGATATACTCTTAATATAACAATCTAATCTCAATTACAATCTAATCTCTCTTCATTAAACTCGTAAATAGGGTCGCAAAGTGGTAAATAACAAAAGTGTATAGCACGTTAAATAACCAAGCCCAACCCAAATAGGAAAAACGCATAAATAGCATAACTGATGAGCATAACTGATGAGTCGACTCATAAAATTATGAGTCGACTCATTAAATGATGAGTCGACTCATTACATTATGAGTCGACTGGTCAGAGCCAAAATGCGAACTAGGCTTGGTTTTATGAGTCGACTCATGACAGGCAAAGGTCGACTCAACCTGATGAGTCGACTTATGTATATGTATGAGTCGACTCACTGCCCGAAATCTGGATACTTTGACGTGCATTTTCCCCTGTACTGTTTGACACCTCTATTATTCTCATGATATCATAAGAATCATCTACCCTCAAGCTCCCATAAGGATCGCTAAGTTCTCCGAAGAGAAGATTATCAGCTATACTTTTGGATTAACGTGCTATACTTAACGTGCTATACTTACACGATAATGTGCTATACTTACAGATTAACGTTCTATACTTACAATATAACATCCTATACTTTCGGATTAACGTGCTATACTCTCAATATAACGTGCTATACTTTCGGATTAACGTGCTATACTTTCGGATTAACATGCTATACTTACAGGTTAACGTGCTATACTTACATATTAACGTGCTATACTTACAGATTAACGTGCTATACTTTCATATTAACGTGCTATACTTACAGATTAACGTGCTATACTTTCATATTAACGTGCTATACTTACAGATTAACGTGCTATACTTTCATATTAACGTGCTATACTTACAGATTAACGTGCTATACTTACAGGTTAACATGCTATACTTACAGGTTAACGTGCTATACTTTCGAATTTACGTGCTATACTTACAGATTAACGTGCTATACTTTCATATTAACGTGCTATACTTTCGAATTTACGTGCTATACTTTCATATTAACGTGCTATACTTTCATATTAACGTGCTATACTTACAGATTAACGTGCTATACTTTCGATATATCGTGCTATACGTACTCCTTAACGTGCTATACTCTTAATATAACGTGCTATACTTTCGATATAACGTGCTATACTTTTGGATTAACGTGCTATACTCTCAATATAACGTGCTATACTTTCGGATTAACATGCTATACTTACAGGTTAACGTGCTATACTTTCATATTAACGTGCTATACTTACAGGTTAACGTGCTATACTTACAGGTTAACGTGCTATACTTACAGATTAACATGCTATACTTACAAATTAACGTGCTATACTTACAGGTTAACGTGCTATACTTACAGATTAACGTGCTATACTTTCATATTAACGTGCTATACTTACAGATTAACGTGCTATACTTTCGATAAAACGTGCTATACTTACTCCTTAATTTGATATACTCTTAATATAATGTGCTATACTTACCGATCTACATGCTATACTCTCAATATAACGTGCTATACTTTCAAATTAACGTGCTATACTTTCATATTAACGTGCTATACTTACAGGTTAACATGCTATACTTACAGGTTAATGTGCCATACTTTCGGATTTACGTAATATACTTTCATATTAATGTGCTATACTTTCATATTAACGTGCTATACTTACATATTAACGTGCTATACTTACAGGTTAACGTGCTATACTTATATATTAACGTGCTATACTTTCATATTAACGACATGCTATACTTACAGGTTAACGTGCTATACTTTCGGATTTACGTAATATACTTTCATATTAATGTGCTATACTTACAGGTTAACGTGCTATACTTACATATTAACGTGCTATACTTACAGATTAACGTGCTATACTTACAGGTTAACGTGCTATACTTACAGATTAACGTGCTATACTTACAGATTAACTTACTATACTTTCATATTAACGTGCTATACTTACAGGTTAACGTGCTATACTTATATATTAACGTGCTATACTTTCATATTAACGTGCTATACTTACAGATTAACATGCTATACTTTCATATTAACGTGCTATACTTACAGATTAACGTGCTATACTTTCATATTAACGTGCTATACTTACAGGTTAACGTGCTATACTTACATATTAACGTGCTGTACTTACAGGTTAACATGCTATACTTATAGGTTAACGTGCTATACTTACAGATTAACATGCTATACTTTCATATTAACGTGCTATACTTACAGATTAACGTGCTATACTTTCGATATATAGTGCTATACGTACTCCTTAACGTGCTATACTCTCAATATAACGTGCTATACTTTCATATTAACGTGCTATACTTTCATATTAACGTGCTATACTTACAGGTTAACATGATATACTTACAGGTTAACGTGCTATACTTTTGGATTTACGTGCTATACTTACATATTAACGTGCTATACTCTCATATTAACGTGCTATACTTACAGATTAACGTGCTATACTTTCATATTAACATGCTATACTTACAGATTGACGTGCTATACTTTCATATTAACGTGCTATACTTACAGGTTAACGTGCTATACTTACATATTAACGTACTATACTTACAGATTAACGTGCTATACTTACAGATTAACGTGCTATACTTACAGGTTAACGTGCTATACCTACAGGTTAACGTGCTATACCTACAGGTTAACGTGCAATACTTACAGATTAACGTGCTATACTTTCATATTAACGTGCTATACTTACAGATTAACGTGCTATACTTTCGATATAACGTGCTATACTTACTCCTTAATGTGATATACTCTTAATATAATGTGCTATACTTACCGATCTACGTGCTATACTCTCAATATAACGTGCTATACTTTCATATTAACGTGCTATACTTTCATATTAACGTGCTATACTTACAAGTTAACATGCTATACTTACAGGTTAACGTGCTATACTTTCGGATTTACGTAATATACTTTCATAATAACGTGCTATACTTTCATATTAACGTGCTATACTTACATATTAACGTGCTATACTTACAGGTTAACGTGCTATACTTACATATTAAAGTGCTATACTTACAGATTAACGTGCTATACTTTCGATATATCGTGCTATACGTACTCCTTAACGTGCTATACTCTCAATATAACGTGCTATACTTTCGGATTAACATGCTATACTTACAGGTTAACGTGCTATACTTACAGGTTAACGTGCTATACTTACAGATTAACGTGCTATACTTTCATATTAACGTGCTATACTTTCAGATTAACGTGCTATACTTTCAGATTAACGTGCTATACTTTCATATTAACGTTCTATACTTACATATTAACGTGCTATACTTTCATATTAACGTCCTATACTTACAGATTAACGTGCTATACTTTCATATTAACGTGCTATACTTACAGATTAACGTGCTATACTTTCGATATATAGTGCTATACGTACTCCTTAACGTGCTATACTCTCAATATAACGTGCTATACTTTCATATTAACGTGCTATACTTTCATATTAACGTGCTATACTTACAGATTAACGTGCTATACTTTCGATATATCGTGTTATACGTACTCCTTAATGTGCTATACTCTTAATATAACGTGCTATACTTTCGATATAACGTGCTATACTTTCGATATAACGTGTTATACTTTCGGATTAACGTGCTATACTTACCGATCTACGTGCTATACTCTCAATATTAACGTGCTATACTTACAGATTAACGTGCTATACTTTAATATTAACGTGCTATACTTACAGGTTAACGTGCTATACTTACAGATTAACGTGCTATACTTTAATATTAACGTGCTATACTTACAGGTTAACGTGCTATACTTACAGATTAACGTGCTATACTTTCATATTAACGTGCTATACTTTCATATTAACGTGCTATACTTTCATATTAACGTGCTATACTTTCATATTAACGTGCTATACTTTCATATTAACGTGCTATACTTACAGATTAACGTGCTATACTTTCATATTAACGTGCTATACTTACAGATTAACGTGCTATACTTTCATATTAACGTGCTATACTTACAGATTAATGTGCTATATTTTCGATATAACGTGCTATACTTACTCCTTAATGTGATATACTCTTAATATAATGTGCTATACTTACGTGCTATACTTTCGGATTTACGTAATATACTTTCATATTA